CAACCACCTGGAGGAGCACACGGACACCTGCCTGCCCAAGCAGGACGTCTATGACGCCTACAAGTGAGCTGGGCTGTCCCGCGTCACCGTGTCACCGTGTCCCAAGGACCCCCCTGTCCTGGTGTCCCATGTCACCATGTGCCCATGTGCCCATGTCCCCACCTCCCTGGGAACCCCCTGTCCTGGTGTCCCATATCACCACGTCCCTTAGAAACCCCTGTCCTTCTGTCCCCGTGTCTTCACCTCCCTGGGGACCCCCTGTCCTCATGTCCCATGTCCCAGTGTCCTTGAGGACCCCCTGTCCTCGTCCTCCATGTCCCCCTGTCCTGCTGTCCTACATCCCCAGGTCCCCCAGCCCTGCCATTCCCTGCCGTGTCCTGCTGTCCCATGTCCCCCTGTCCTGGTGCCCCATGTCCCTGTGTCCCCCTGCCCTGCTGTTCCCTGCCCTGTCCCTGATCTGCTCTGTGTCCCCCTGTCCTGCTGTCCCCATGTCCCCCTGCCCCGCCGTTCCGTGCCCTGTCCCCGATGTGCTCCGAGTCACCCCTGGTGTCCCCGATGTGCTCTGTGTCCCCCTGCCCTGTCCCTGCTCCGTGTCACCGCCGGTGTCCCCGCAGGCGTTACTGTGACAACCTGGGCTGCCGCCCGCTGAGCACGGCCAACTTCGGCAAGATCATCCGCGAGATCTTCCCAAACATCAAAGCCCGGCGCCTGGGGGGCCGCGGCCAGTCCAAATATCCTTCCCTGGCCTGGAATTCCTGTGCCAGCTGCTCTTTTCCCCCCTGTTTTTTTCCCATTTTTTCCCATTTTTTCCTATTCTTTTTCCTGGTTTCCCCCAGTTTTTCCCATTCCTGAGGGTTCTTCAGGGGTTGGTTCCCGGTGTTTTGGGCTCGGGAAAAATCCTTGACTCTTCCCAACGTACTGCTATGGGGGGATCCGGAGGAAGACCGTGGTCAGCCTTCCTCCCCTGCCCAGCCTGGACCTCAAAGTGACCGAGACGGTGAGTTTGGGTGGGATAATGGGAACGGTGAATTTGGGTGGGATAATGGGATAGCGGGATAGTGGGATAGTGGGATAGTGGGATAGTGGGACAGTGGGATGGGGTGGGTTGGTGGGATGCAGGTCCTGCCTTGCTCCATGAATCCCATCCCGTCCCCATCCTGGTGTCCCCTCCTGTCCCCATCCCAGTGTCCCATCCTTTTCCATGGGCTTATCCCTGTGTCCTGCCCTGCTCCCTGACCCTCCTGCTGTCCCCATCCTGACACCGTGACCCTCCTGCTGTCCCCTCCCTGCTATCCTCCTGTCCCTGGTCTCACACCCTGTCCCTGTCTGATGTCCCTGTTCCTGTCCCTGTGCTGTCCCCAGCAGGCGGAGCTGGCCGAGCTGGCTCACTCCTACAGCAGCAGTGAGGTGACAGTGAGAGTGTCCCTGTCCCTGTCCC